AGAGAAGGGGGCGGGGGGAGGGGGGAGGCTCGTCCGACGAATGTAACCTGCGAGCATTAGGGCCACTGGCTTAAATGTCATCCATGGAAGGACCCCGGCTAGTGAGAGCGGCGGGAAAGGTAGACAGTGCTTAATGAAAGTGACGGGGAGAGTAATTAGGGGCGCGCGGCTGGACACAAGGTTGGGAGGAGGAGACGGGGAAGGGGTTGGGAGGTGGGGATGGGTTGGGAGTAGGGGAGGGGAGAGTGGATGGGAGGGGGTGAAGGGTTGTGTTGGGGGAGGAGGGCCGGGAGGAGAGGAGAGGGTTGAGAGAGAGGGGTGGTAATAAAGACATGAGGGGGTAGGGGAGCGGAAAGATAGGGGGGATTGAGACTCAGAAGAAAGTAAGGAGACAAGAAAAGGAGTAAGAAAGGAAACGGTGAGGGCAAGGGAATGGCAGTGGAGAGCTGAGCAATTTTCTGAGGAGGAAAGGGAATGGGGAAGAGGGAAGGCGTGAAGGTGGAAGACAGTGAGGGTGAGAAGGAGATAGAAAAACAACATTAAAAGAAAATATGTTAATTAGACAGAGGAAAGAGAACAACAAGAATGCACACGTGTAAAGAAAAGATTTTAAAAAACTGTCGGGCCGTTATAAAGGCAAACTTAACTAATGTTTTGAGCTTAACTTGAAAAGTTGAGTTCATATTGAAAAGAAGTGAAAATCGAAAGTTGTGACACAAACTACATATTATGTGAATTCAAAAGAGCCAATTTGAGTCATTTGGTGGATGGGAAGTCAAGTCTCCATGGCTGTTGTTTATGTGTTGTTTCCAAACGTGTTAAAATTGTGTAATGTTCCTTTCTGAGAGTTTTATATTCATTTTTGTACTGTTGTTGTTGCTCTGATTTGTGCAGTAAAATAGACACGTGGAGATGTTATGTTTTGCAATTTGGTTTTATTTTTGTTTTGTTTTTAATCAGAGACAAGCCGATTTCTTAAGCAAGGTTCCTATTGACTTTCATTTCTAATGATCAAATAAATCTAAATTATTATATTATAGATGGTGGAGAGACAGGGGGAGATAGAGATACGATGAGAGAGAGACAGGGAGAGAGAGAAGGATATTAGATAGACAGACAGATAGATAGATAGATAGATAGATAGCTAGATAGATAGATAGATAGATAGATAGATAGATAGATAGATAGATAGATAGATAGATAGATAGATAGATAGATAGATAGTTAGATAGATAAATAGATAGAGGCAGCGTGAGAGAGAGAAAGAGGGAGAGAGAGAGGGAGAGAGTGAGAGAGAGAGGGGAGGAGAAAGAGAGAGAGGGAGAGAGAGAGAGAGAGAGAGAGAGAGAGAGAGAGGGGGGGGGAGAAAGAGAGAAAGAAACCTACATTTTGCCACTGTGTATACAGAATCTTGTATACCGTGCATCGCTCATTGGAGGAAGGCTTTTATGGACACCCATGGGCAATGAAGATCCTGCCCAAAAACACTCGCACGCCCATTGAAGAAAATATTCTTTTATAAATGGGTATTTCATTTGTGTTTCCAAACCGATGATGTTGGTGTTTGGTGAGTATATCACTCGTTTTTCTTTCTAGTTAATATCATGAAATTGTGTTCGTTCTTGTTGATTTTGTAAAGAAAAGAAGAGAAAAGGTTCATGATGCACATAATTTGTACATTTTAGGATGACTGAATTCGAAAAATGAAACCTACAAAAAACAACCAAACTGTCAGATTTCTCAAAGAAATAGAGTACGTTTCATAGTGCATATTAATTTGCAAATTGGGAGGACATTGAAATAGAAGACAAAAAAAAAATAATAAAAAAAATAAATAAAAAAATAAATATATATATATATATATATATATATATATATATAAGAGAAAAAATTGTCAGATTTTTCCAAAGAAAAGGGAAAAACTGTTTCATTTTGCAGACTAATAATAATATTAGAAAGACGCTGAAAACGAAAAAAAATATGACAGGTCTGATTCCGTAAAGGAAAAAAGGAGAGTCACAATTTTCAGAAAGATACAAAATATTAGATAATGACATTGACATTTCAGAAAAAAGAAAACACCAAAAAAAAAAAAAAAAGACAAGAAAGAAAGGATGAAAGAAAATAGCAGACGTGTCAGATTTGAGGACAAAACAGGGAAGAACTAACAACGTCGATACAGCACCATTGCATATTGTCCTCAGCCGATAAGTTGCTGAGGCATCGTTATTTTTTTGCATCGGTGGTGGTATTCCTTTTCCCCTGCTGCTGCTCTCTCTCTCTCTCTCTCTCTCTCTCTCTCTCTCTCTCTCTCTCTCTCTCTCTCTCTCTCTCTCTCTCTCTCTCTCTCTCTCTCTCTCTCTCTCTCTCTCTGTGCGCCGTCTTGGATAGGGCATCTGGCCCGGGGGCGGTAGGGAACGAAACTCCCTTCATAGGGCTGGGAAACGGACAGATGGCGTTATAAGAGCGAAGACTTTTTTTTTTTTATAGTAGAGGGTTTTACGGCACTGGCAACTGCATAAGGTTAAGGTCATATGAGCGCCAAGGGGTGGGTGTCAACAGAGAAGTCTTTACAGGGAATCAGACTTAAACTGCTCACCTGTCTAGCTTCAACAGCACATGGTCTGCTTTGACTATCAAGGCACCCCGGAAATAGCAGGTCACAAGAGAGTGACAAACATACAAAAGAAGTAGAGGATAGTAAGGATCGGGAAAGAAAAAGCAGCAGTTCCCTGTTGTAGATCAGGCATAGTTATGAGCGTGACATGAGTCAGCCCATTTACAATTCTACTATGCTTGAACGAGAAATGTTCCCCCTTTGGGAATGGCTTAAAGATACTACAGTCAGTGGCACTGCCCCGGGGGGTGCGAAGACTTTGTTCAACAAACCATTGTATAGACAACATGTGTACAACTTGATGTGTACGATAATTGTGTACCTCACAAAAATTTAGCTTAATACTATTGTCAAGGCTTTCGATTTTCTTGCTTTTCATGATTCCTTTAAGTAACACACACACAAAAGTCTAGCTTTATGTCTCTGGTGTAAAATGTACCCAAGATGATTACTTGCCGCACCGACCAAAACAGTAAATCTCAATGCATTTTTTTTAAAGATCTGATGTAGCGAGCAATCAAACGCATTGACCATGTCCCCTTTGACCAAAGTCCTTAACTCAGTATTTAATTTTGTTTTGAGAAAAATTCCTTTCTCATGCATGAGTGTCATTAACGGTAGGATCTACTGAGCGCCATTTGTTGACTTTTGTTAAAGTGTGAACCGTGAGGTTTAAGACACTTGCAACACGATAAGGTCATATTAGTGCCAAAAAGGAGGAGGTATCAGAACGATAGATGTTTTATAGAAAATTTGAAGCAGACCACTCCAGAGCACTCACGAATTATCCCCACTTTGGGCCTGAATTTATTTTGCTAAAATCAAACAGGGAATTAGTTCAGGAGAGTTCTAACCTCTCCATCCAATCGTCTGGGTCATATCGAACTGGCCGGAGGTCCCGTCTCGACTGTGTGCAAACACCACACCACGGCACTGTCTGTCTGTTCTCTATTCTATGGCCACGACCGACAGAAGGGCCCAGACCTTCACCGAGAGATTCAGGGGACAACACCGTGCGATGTCGGCTTGCGTCACTCCCCGATCGCCTCTCACTCACAGATAGGCCAGACAAGCAGAGGCAGACGAGGACGGCGAGAAAAGGAAACCCGTGAGAGGGCCGTCGTCGTGTGTGTGCGTGTGTGTGTGCGCTACTGTCCCCTTTCGTCGCAGGCTGCTGCTGCTGCTGCTGCTGTTGTTGGTGCTGCTGCTGCTGCAGCTGCTGTTGCTGTTGTTGTCGTTCCAGACACATGAAATCCAACTGGGGCGGCGCCTTGTGGTAAACCGCGCAACCACACGCGACAAGAGACTGCTGGTGTCCACTTTTCTTTTTTTGCCATATTTATTCGTTTCTTTTTTTTAATTCCTTTTTTTCGGTAAAGGTTTGTTCTTTTTTTTTTAGTTGTGGGCTCTTTGGATCCTAGTTTTGTTTTGTAAGCATTGTTTACATTCGCGCTGAAGAATTCGTGTCATTTGAGTTTCCCTAACTGGAGTTACGGGCGGTTTCCCATATTCTGGATAGACTGTGCCATTCACACGTTGGAAGTCCGCGGCTCAACTTCACGTAAGGTACGTGCTCACAAGCAAACTTATAGATATCTACTGCTATACTCTCTATGGAAAACACTATTGTTTCTCAGTATCTGTACAATTTACTTAGTAATTTATTAATTATTTCTATTTTGTTTATTATGTTTATTTATTGTCATTTTCTTACTTGTTGATTCATATGTTGATTATTTTATCTTTTATTTTTTCGTTGAACATTGATTTACTTTTTCATGTAATGAAACTGCCATTTTTCAAGAGTTAATTTTTTAAAAACTTTTTAAGTTGATTTTGTTTTATAACTTTTTTTTACTGGTCCCAACCTTATTGCTGTACTAGATCTACATTATTCTATTTAGATCTTGATCTATTTCACTTTTGCTTGCATTCATTTATTTTAGAATGGTATATTTTCTTAAAATACATATCGCCAGAGAGCAAACATTGTATTGCACTGTTGTTTCGACGTGAGTTGTTCAAAGTCATCCAAAGCATGATCTCCAAAGGCAAGGGATGTAGCTTTAAAATGATACCTTTTTCTCAGGTATGGTTTTTCTTTTCCCTAACGGAAAATCACATGACCTGATCAGTTTCCAATGACTTTACAATTTTGTTTTACGCGGCCGACTCGCTTCCCCTCACCTCTTTAACTTCCAGTCTTTCTTTTATCGGTCCGTCTCTTTCTCTCTCTCTCTCTCTCTCTCTCTCTC